TGCAGCACAAGCTCAAGACCGGGACAGGCATATTCTGCATGTGGATCATGGAGCTGGATCAGGATCATACACTGCATGTAGGACAGGGAACTGGTCAGGGGCATGAGCTGCATGCAGTGTTGCACTGGACCTGTCCTGCACCCTGAATTAGATCAAGTCCACAAACCGGCCCCCACACTGAAGCCAGCACTCAGGACCAATCTGGCATGTGTACCTCATGCAGTCTGCACCCTGTGTTGGCTCTGCATTTGAGCCCCAAGCTGGGCAGGGCTAGTCCAGTAAATGTACTGCATGAGATCCCTACACTGGACCAGCCCTGTGTGCTAGCTCCAGTGCCTAAGGCCAGTCTGGGTCCCAAGATGATCTGCAATTGAGCCCTGCACCCCTCATCTAGCCCAATGATTTTGACACCCCTGCCTTAGTTCCGGTAGTATGTCCTCAATAGTGGACAATGGATAATGACTTCTTTCCAAAGCCTTGTTAAGAAGTTTGAGATCTATACAGATCCTTAGTTTGTGAAATGGTTTTCTTACCACTACTAGGCTGTTGATCCATTTAGTACTAGTTTCCACTGGTTTAATAATATGACTTTCTGTTAGGCTTGTTAATTCGTCCTTGAGTGACTCCACCAGAGCTAGTGGTACTCTGTGATTCAGTCGTCATACAGGCTGTACTTGTGAATCTGTTTTTAACTTCAATTTGCCCTCTAGGTGCCTGTCTCCCTCAAATACACCTTTGTACTCTGTTAAAATATCTAACAAGGACCATGCTGTGACTCGTTCCTCCTGTCTCATGTGGAGGATATGTTAGTGTCGGATTAAGATCAGATCCATGGCTTCTATTGGTCAGCTGTCTAACAGTGGGTGGCACTCTTCGGTGTTGACTGCTATGAATTCCATGCCGTATTATTTTCTGTTCCATGAATTTTTTTATTGATAGCCTGCACTTACCTACTGGCTGTAGAGCTGTTTTTTGTACATCATCAATGCCCGCTCATATTCCTCTAACATTACTGATGAGCACTTTTTCATGAATTACATTGCAGCTGGCTCCTCAACCAAGCTGGAATCAGACTGGTTACTCATCCATCAACATAGCTGCAAATATGATATACAGCTGTGTAACAGCTTTCTTCTATAGTGCACTGCTTATACATTTCAGAGTATTTGGATCTACTAAAATCACTGAAAAGCCCTCATCTTCCTTATCAAAAATGTCAGCCTCCTACCCTATTACATGTACTGTTGCTTTATTTCTCCTGTTATTGTTTCAGCACTGGGACACAAAAAGATTCTGTTTCCCACAGCCCTGGTATCTTTTCCCATAAGCTGGACATTTATTTTTCCTTGCATGCTGCCTTCCGCATCTGGGGGTCTTCATTCTCAGTTGCTCTATTTTTATTCTGGCTCTTGTGTTCCTTCAAATTGTGTACATGTTCTGCATCAGCTATGCTTTTGATTCTTTCCTTAGATAATTTAGCTGTTCTTGACATTTGGAGGTACTAGTGCAGAATCAGATCAACCTCTCTCAATAATCTCTTCCTTACTTTAGATCAGATGTCTCACAAATAATTCTATTTCTAATAAGGGAGTCTGTTATGTTCTCAAAGGTACATGTTGATGACAACGTTTTCATCTCTGTAACAATTATCTATTTCTTTTTTTAGATCCTGATTCTGGATAAAAAAAATTGTATCTGTCCACAGTGTCATTTTTTATGGGGTCAGTATTTTTCAAAGCCTTCATGAGCTGCTCTGATGTAATTGAGCCCTTCAGAGAAGTTGCACTCACTTCTCTGCCCTTTATCCCAGTGAGGTAATGAAAAAGAAATGGAAAAGATTTTACCTTAATTTTTTCATCCTTGTCTGCTATGGTCAGCTGTGTATGTAAAGTCATTTCTTCTTTCCACTGCTTCCACACAAGGCCAGGTTCTTTGGCAATCCCTCCAATGCTGCTTGCTGTCTTTGCTATGTAGCTGATGCTTTAAATCACACAGTCTCTGCTGTGGTTCTCAACTATTGCCACCATGTTTCATGCACAGAGCTCTGTACAATAATAAAGGGACACTATTTGGACTCTAGTAATTGGATCTTTATTAAAAGTACTGCTTGTAGCTATGTTGTCCGCTTGTGCTCAGAACTATTGTTCTCTGTCTGAGCACATGGTGCTTCCTGGAAGCTTACTGGTGTCACCCTCCAAATCATCCCTCCCACAGCTCCTGCCCCAACCAGCATATTCCCTGATGGTTGTTACACATGGATTTGGGTTGACTGTATAAATGGTATGTTTAACTCTGACCCTCAGCAAATCAGCCAGGGGCTGATAAGGATCTTGTAATATATCACACACCCTATCTGGAGCAGAGGCTTAACAAAGTATGGGCTCCTGGGGTAGGTGGATACATGGGGGCAGTCATGACTTCCAGTTGCACCATACTACCAATGTGTGGCAAGGCAGCAGCTGATACTTTCTGCCCCACGCCCTGCATCAAGTTGGTGCCAGGGGCAACTTCCCCAGTCACCCTGCCCTGGTTGCTCTACTGGTCTAAAGTAAGGTACACAACAAGCAGAAGAAGCTATTAACAGGAAGCTTTTCTCTGGCAGGACAATGGGTATGCTGCTAAGGAGGGGACCTGAATTTATCTGTATTTCCAGGCAGGTTTCAGATAGGGGATTAAGGGGGAACTGGATCTCCACAGGGGAAAATCAGGTATAAGTGGAAGTTTTCAAAAACACAGAGCTGAGAAGTTCAATTGATAAGAAAAGGGGAAGACAGTTGGAGGGAGAAGGGACCTTTCTAACTCTCTGATTAGCTGGAGATGAAGGACACTGACTGCAGGGCTCAGAAAGGACATAGCAGGTTTTGGAAAAGAAGCCTGTGCTGGAGGAGTGAAATCCCAGAGAGGGGCCCTACAGCTTTGACACTTCAGGACACTGACCACAATACTGAAGAGTACCCAGGAGCGGTAAAGCTGTGGGGCTGGGAATTTTGCACAACTGCTTATTGTTTTACCCAGATCTTTAGCTCTCTAGTGCTGCTCAAAGTAAATAGTGGTTGATCTTAGAAATCCTACAGCAGAGCGTGTGTCTGTTAGGTTCAATTACTGCATGTCAGTGAAGCAGTATACTGTAACAATATGGTTGAAGCACCATGAAAGGACATGCTGCACGAGCGAGGAAGCATAATGGAGGGGAGTGCTGATATTGTCTGCTTTGGGCAGCTGGGCTGAAAGTCTAGGCTGAGAATGTGTGTACCCCAAGAAGGGTGCCAGTGAGGCCAGATGAGAAACCCTGGGTGGACCTTACACAGCACACAAAAGGAACATGTGGGCCAAACACAGCAACCTGCTAAGCATCCTGAAGGGAGAGCTTAACCAGGGCAGCTGCAGACAGGGAATTTAGGCTGGTCCCTAGAATGATGAGGTTGATGAAGCTTCATGAGGACAGGAAAAACACTGGAACAGGACTAAGCACTTGGACCTCACCATGTGGTAAAATAAACTCTATCTCTGAAGACTTCACTTCCAGGGGAAGCTTGGACAGTCTGAATACAGCATAGGGCTTGGAGGGGTAAGAGCCAGGGCTCACTTTTGAGCCATCCTTTCCTGCACTGTTCAAAGATGAACTCAGAAGCATGCCACACTAGATGTGAGAAATAAGCTGTATCTTTTGGACCACAAATAATTCTCTGATTAGTCTTTGTATTAATGGTTCAGACTCTCAGGACTCAGCTCTGTCACCCAGTGCATGATTGTGTCCCTGGCAGCGGGAGCCTCATTAAACAATGCTCCTTTGGCAACTG